CAGCCGGTGTCTCCGCAACAGCCGCCGCCGCAGCAAGAAGAGGAGCGGGAAGGCACCGGAGCTGGCACCGGGGCGGGGCACGGCGTGGGGCCCTGTGAAGACCCTTTGGAAAAGCCTTTGGCGGCCGATGCACCCTGCTGGGACATGGCTGAGCTCCTCAAGGCGAACCTGCAAGAGACGCGGCCTCTGAGACAGAGCCCAACTCTCCAACAGTGGGAAACGAGCTTGGGGATTTGGCCTCAAGTCAGCAAATCAGCCTGGCCTGTCAGGAATGGGTGGAAGCAAAGGAAACAAACCCAAAACTGGGGTTTCCAGCGAGCGAACCGCGCCCAGGGCAGGAAACCGCCTCTGCGGAGAACCAGTGGTTTCCCAGCTTCTGGCTAGAAGGAGGACCACCCAGGTTTTCCAAAGTGGAAACTAGAGGGTGTTGCAATAGTGTATCTGCATGGTCCAGTCCAAAATCGCTGGGCTGTTCTCCTTGCCCGCATTTCCCTTCACCGCAGACGTTCAAGTCTTGGTCTCGGTTACTTGCATCACCCTTGTTTTTATCTGTCAGCAGATGACTGACCCGAGTCCCCTTCTTGCTGGAGCCTCACTGCCCCTGCTACAACTAAGGAAAGGCCCGATGTGCAGAGAACGGAAAAATTCCTGTCCAGGGAGCCAGCAGACCTGGGTTCTAGTCTCAGCTCTCCTGCAATCCTGCTGTGCAACTTGTCAGAAGTTACACACGCCGGGCATCCACGTCCTCATTAGCACCCCGAGAGGTCGGCCGCCTTGATGCTGAAGATGCTCCCCAGGGCTCCTGCCACATCCACCCTCCTCCTCTGTGCCTTCGACTCATCCCCGCTTCCTTCCTTGGGCCCCCTGGACACTGACTTACCAGACGCTGGCTCCACGGGAAGACGCACTCAGTTCTCCAATTGGAAGGTGACACTTGCTGCAGGCAGGCAGTGGACTGAACCGTGTGCAGCTGGGAGAACCTTTTATAAGATGACTGTAAAGCTTGGGGTTGGGAGGGGCCCGTTTCCCAATCCACACGCTCAGCTGACACTCAGCACACAAGGAGTCATCACTCAGGTAGTACCGGAGGTGGTGCACGTGGGCACCCAAGTCACTCCACACAGGTGCCAGGATTGCTGCGGTATGTTTACTTTCCAAACAGGACACTTCCTAGCTGGGAGGGCTGCTTCTGTGCTTAGAGAAGGCCTGGGGCCTGAGGGAAGAGATGGACCCCTTCTGAACTCTTCTACACTTTGCACACGCGTGCGCACGCACACACACACACACACACACATTGTCCACCCACCCTTCCCTGTGGAACCATCCCCTTGATAATGAGTAGCTCACTTGTTATCTTGGTTGGTCTCTCTGGCTTTGGTCCCTGGCAGTTCAGAGTAGGCCGCAGGCTACATGTTAAACCCACTAGGTTTTCATCCAGGTAATCCCAGGTGAAGCTCAGTGCAGATGAGGGGTGCCTGTGGGAATTCCAATGGTAATTTCGCTCTGTTGCCAGAGAAAGGAAGGAAAACCCAGGCAAACTTAAGGGACCAGCGAAACAAGAAGAGCTGTGAATGTAATCGGGTTGCTGTATCCCCATAATACAGCCCTAGCGCACCTAGGAGGAGATGGTGGGCAAAGGCAAATGGAAAACCAACCTTCAGACCCTGTTTCTGACCCCTGCCAGCTCCATCTCCCTTTGAAGACGGGCTCTCCCTGGGGCCTTGACCCCATTGGAAAGAAGATAAAAGAATAAAGAGATGGAAGGGAGGTGGGGAAGGACGAATAAAGAGAAAAGGAAAGGAGGAAGGGAGGAAGGGAGGGCAGGGTGAGCAGAGAGGGGACGGTAAAGGAAAGGAGACAGAAGAAGTCCTCTCTGGAGGCTCCAGTGTCCGCGATGACTGTTCCTTTTGGAATAACTAAGAGTCAGAGCTCACTGTCTCAGGCTGCTTCTTAGCCAACGCAGTTGGCAGGCCACGTCCTCCAAGGTGAGACGTGAGAGAAGCCCACGACCAAGAATCCAAGCGCTCATGTCGAGAGAGGTGAGCCGGGAGCAGCGGAAACACACAAGGAAAGGCAGGTCGCGAAAGACACCCGTTCTGTTTCGTGTGGCTTTGGCCTGGTCAACAGGTTGCCTACACCCAGAGCACCTCCTGACAAGTCTGGATGAGACAGTCCAAACAGTGAGGCGGGAAGGAGGTGGTGGAGCAACGAGATGCAAAGTTCTTTTAAAAAGAGTGAAGAAAAAGTCTTGGTAAGAGATTTAGCTCAGTGGTTCTGCCACCTGCCTCCTGCCTCACAAGCACAAGGTCCTGAGTTCAATCCCCAGTAATACACACACACACACACACACACACACTCACACACACACTCACACAAAGCATCCTTAGGAGGAGTGATTTGGGCAAGTGGCTACATGTCACACTGACCAGCCATGACCTGGGATACTAACTTACTTTACCTATTAATCAATTCTCATCAAAGGAGAGGTCAGTGGTATAACTTGTATAGAGAAAGTTGATTTGCAATAATCTTTTCTAGCATCACTTTTTTGAAGTGCCCTGAAGGAACCAACCCATTCCTAAAGGAACGTGACCTGGAAACCCTAATACAGTGGCCAAAGCCCCCCCATGCACACACAGGCTCACCCCCACCCCCATGTGATGATGGTCTTTGGCAGAGATTAGTGTGTTTCTTGATTCTCTACTCAGGCTCAAAGCCAGGATTTGAGGATCCGGGGGAGATGGGCTCAGTGACACTGTCCCTGTCTCCTAAACTCCCCAGCCCGAGCTCCCCTCTTTGGTCAGTGTATAGAATCACCTGGGATTATAATAACTGGAAAAGTAGGGTGCCTGTACATGGGACTTCAGAATGAGTGCTTTAGGTGATCTTCTCCCCAATAATAGAAGAGGAGAATACTTGCAGGAAAAGCCGAGAGAGCTGCCTGTTGAGGTACTCACAGCCTCCTGTCCTCACACCGTTCCTGCCTCTCCCCTCGTGTGAGCTTGTGTCTGGCACACTGGTCTCAGGCATGACTTTTCCCTTCAATTTTGAAGTTCCCAGATCCAGAGCATTAAAGGAAATATTCCCTGGAAGTCTAAGCCAAAATGCGCTTCCCAGACAGATGTCTTTAAGTGCTCACTTGCACTTAAAAGAAGGGAAGGGAGATGGCTTAATGTCAGGGTGGGGAGCAGGGAAAGTGAACAGAGCATAACCAGGAGGCAGGGACATCAGAAATAAAAAGCTTTATTGTTGCAGAGAAGAAAGCTTCAGAACTGAATTTCCACACCTCGTGCGCCAAGAACTGTAAGAGGGACAGAGGACATCAGAGATAGATACCACAGTGGGTGAACAGAGGCAGGCGGGAGAATGTCAAAGCATCTCAGAAGTGCTCCTGCTGGAAAACAGGACAGGAGACTCCTCGGGCTGGACAGGTCTTCTGCTAATTCTGCCGCTTGGTGCTCTTCGTGGCCCAGGTCAGCAGCAGCCCCCAGACTGTTGGCCACCGCTACCACCACTGCTGCCACAGCAGCCACTGCCACCTCCACTGCTGCCACAGCAGCCACTGCCACCTCCACTGCTGCCACAGCAGCCACTGCCACCTCCACTGCTGCCACAGCAGCCACCGCTACCTCCACTGCTGCCACAGCCAGAGCTCTGGTGTCGGTGTCGAAGTCGAAGAGATCTGCGGGGCTTGTGGTGGCTCAGGCAGCAGCCACAGCACCCAGAGCTGCAGCAGTCCCCGGAGCTGGAGCCACAGCAGGAAGACACTGGAGGCGGACAGGGGGACTTGGGTGGGCATTTGGGGGGGCACTTAGGAGGGCACTTGGGAGGGGGCTGACACTGCTTCTGGCTCTGCTGGCAGGACATCTTGGCAGGAAATGATTGCGCTGAAAGACAATATATAGAGGTTTTTAATTCACTGAGTCCAAGGTAAGTTTCTTACATTTAAAAATGGAACTATGAATTAGCAAGGTCTACCTCTACAGTGATCAGATTTTAAAAACCAAAGACGTGTCTCACACACACACACACACACACACACACACACACAAATGGTTTCAACCTAGGAACTTATACTTTCAAATTAACCCCTTGCAACTTCAAAAAGATGCTGACCCCTCACACTGTTCCTCTACCTTCCACCCCCTTCCCCTTCCAACCCCTACCCCCTTCTCCTTGTCTTTCTCCAAGACGGTTCTCAGCCTCTACCCTGGGCCTCTTTTCTGCCTGCATCGTCAGCAGCAAGAGTCCACCCCAGTCCTGGCCCCCGAGATGTGCTCTACCTGGCTCACGCACTGGAGTAGATCACCCAGGAAGGACTGAGGTGGACTGAGGCACTGTCGGAAGCTCTCGCCTTTTATACAGTTCCCACCTGGCCTGGTAACTGGCCATGCATCTATCACAAGGCCTGGGTGACACCTCGCCCTAACACCCCAAGCACCCAATCCCTCCCTTCAGAAGCATCTGAGGTATTGACCCGTGAGAAGGTCCCCCTGGGATTGCAGGCCTCGGAGACAGCCGTGGAGCCTGGCGTGCTGCTTACCACGCCTGTCAGTGTCACAGGCAGCTCTGCTGTGCTCCTGTTTCCTGAGCGGGGCCAGTCTGGTGCTAGACCTCAGCGGGTGAAGAAAAAGTTGTGTTTGCTCCTTGGAGTAGGAACTGGACAGGGAGATTCTCGACGTGGAAATTAAATGGTCCTCTTTAGAATAAGGCTAGAGATCCAAAATAAAATGCCAAGCCCAGGCCAATCATCTAAAATGGCTTTGTTCCTTGTCAGATAGTGCCGTAGCCTGCACTGAGAATGCCTGATATCCCAGTGATGTTATTTTCAGCAGGTCTGATGCAGACGGTGTGGGTGGTTGGACTCCTGTCCCTGTCTGAACTTGACACAGCAAGACTCACAAGTAGCACAGATTCAGCATGAACAGTCCCTTAGAATGGGCTGCAGAATCCCAGGAATGACCTAGGTGCCCATCTATGTGTGATACTAGACAAGACAGCTTTAGTGGACCCAAGGTAAGGTGGCAGGGACCGTGGGAATACTGGGAGTGGAGCTGGGGAACTAGACTCATCTGGAAGTTGCCAGAAATGAGGCATCAGCTCTCATCTCCCCTAAGGCAAGGGCTAGAGAGATCCTTTCCTTTCCTGTAAATGGCCTCAGAGGGAGATTCTTCTCTGGATGTGGGACAGAGGGTGGGAGCTGGGGTAGGTGTGGGGGGAGGGGGAATGCACACAGGTTTTGAAAGCCCATCCTCGAATCCAAAGCTTGTTTTTCCTACAAACACTATTCTGAAGGGGAGCTAGTCTCCAGGAAGTCATCAAAGTTGGCTTGTTTGGAAAAGGTAGCCAAAATATGGCATATTAGCAATGGATTTTGCATTGGGAGAACATAAGAGAAGAGAAATGTACAGAGCCTCAGTTCCACTCCGGGTTACATGGGTACAAGTAGGAAACATTGTGCTTCAGTCACAGTCCAGAGTCTGGAGAAAAACTGTCCTGGTCCAGCTTCCAGCTTTGCTCTCTCACCCTGAGGCACATCTCCTAATCATCCCGGAAAAATCAGTATAGTAACAAATCTTAGCTCATTACGCAAGGTTGAGGTAGCAGGATCATCAGTTCAAACCCAACCTCGGTGACTTAGTGAAACTGTGACTCAAAATTAAAAAAATTTTAAAAGGCCTGGGGAGGTAGCTCAATGCAAAGGCCCCAGGTTCAATCTCCATTACCCAAAAATTTAAGAAGAAAACAATTTTTCAAAAAGGCACTGCAAAGTCCTCTGAAAACAGTGTGGAGCTGTGAGTTCAAAATGCCAGTCTAAAAACAATGTATATCGATGTGTGAAAGCATCACATGGTAGCCCATAAGTATGTACAATTTTGTGTTGTATTCATCCATTCTAGAAAATCAATTAAAAAGCTGAAGTATTTCAAAAATAAATAAAAACGGTGTCATCTCTGTGAATATCCTTATTTTTGTGAGAAAATGTATTCTAAATTTCAAGTTATTGATATACCTATGCTGGAAACCAAAACTGTTTTTGGAATACCAAAAATGTAGCCCTAATCCTTTCACACAGCAAAATATTTGAGTATTTATTTGACACTGATGGATACAATTATAAAGAAAGCACACTTATTGTTAAAAAAAAAAAACTAAAGATCACTCTATAAGCCTATCCCCAAGTTCCTATTAATATTTTACTATTTCCCTTCCTTTTTTCTAAACCATGTGTAGTTTTGTAATGATCTGTGTTTGGTTCTGAGTTTATATAGTCTTGATGATAGTACATATAATAGTTTATCTAACTTTTCACTTAACATCGTAATGTAAGCATCAGTTTGGGGGAAGCATTATTTTGGGTGCTACAAAAATTTTTGTGGAGGGCAGAACCTCTTTATAAGCTGCCCAGCATTAGAGTGAGGGCCAGCTTCTGGGTTTGAGTCCCAGCTCCCTGCTCACAGTGGCCTGTTCACTGTCCTCTCTGCAAAATGAGAGTACAGGAGTGTTTATTCCATAGGGCGATTGCGTATTACATGCATTAGTATCATTAAGTTCTTGGCACAGTGCCTAGTACACAGTGAGCACTCAATGAATATTAAAATGAACCCCCAGTGCTGTGCCGCTTCTCAGTTTCACCTCTCAGTTGGCAGAGTGGGTTTAGATAAAGACCACCAGGTAGAGACAGACAGACGGCCTTGGCCACAAGATATCAGGGGCCTCCCTCGTCCCTCCAAGCTGAGAAATATAGAAAAGAATGCCAAACACAGGCTCAGAATTTCTGGAGGAAGCTCAGTAGCAGCTAAAGGAGTCACTCACCTAATACATGGGTGTGATGGATTTGAAAAGGAACGATTCTGTCCCCCATCACTTACAGCCATCAAGGTCTGTGGGCACCTACCTGACTACATGAGTAAGGCTTTTGAGTTTAGAAACCCCCAATGATCTAAATTTTAGTGCTTTGCAGGCAATAGATGCTCGGTTTTAATTTTCTTCTGAAGTTGAACATGCTGCTCAGAAAGGAAAACAGATGCCACCAGCAAATCCAAGCCCAGATTTTCATTCATAAATTCCAGGTATGTCACGGAAGGCTAGGACATGGAAGAGACCAATCTGGGTGGGCCAGGAAACCGACATTCTCCAAAACCTCACTGGGTCTAAGGCACAGCCAGGACCAAGACTCAACTGAAAGCACATGGGAGACGGAAGGAGACTCAGAGGAGGAGAGGGGCTCGCCCTGAGCCACACAGAATTCCAGGCAGACCTAGAATGCAGTCCCTGGTATCAGCCCTCTCCCTATCATGGACCTCTGTCTGGCTCTTGAATAATAACATTTCTTCTTCAGGTGTTTTTGGGTGGGTAGCAAGCTCTATTTTACAGGCAGATGACCCTGAATATCTGTGAGTTCTTCATCCATGAATTCAACCAATTACAGATCAAAAATACTCAGGAAAAGGGTTGCACTTTAGTAAACATGCACAGCCTCTTTCTTCTCTTTGCTCCCTGGCCGTGCAGTATGACAACTATGTGAACAGCATTTACACTGTACATCGTACCAGGTATTCATCTGGAGATACCAGAGGAGATAAACAAGCACATATGCAAATGCTGTTAATAAGGGTATATGCAAATACATTGACTTTAAAGGACTCAGAGTCCCAGGACCTCCCCTTGAGGACACCGAGGGATAACTTTAATGTGCTTATTAAACATGGCCATTGAAACTGGCGTGAAATACTAATAAATGTAGCCTGAATCCCATGTTTAGGAAAGTTAGATGCAAGTCTTCTACTACCCTCAGTGACCAGAAGTCGGGTATCTGTGCCTGAAAGACGGAGTCAGGCATTATCAGGGAGGGGTCACTTGGCGGATCCCCAGAATCCCTCCCAGGAGGCACCAACTTGATGACTACCGCACAGCCCGGAAGTTCAACCCTGTTCCTGCCTCTGACCTTATCAGTCCTGGGACACTGATTCACGGTGCCTAACTCACCAGAGGCTGAGGACATCAGTTTACAAAGAGATACATGAGTCTCCAATGTTGGCCTGACAGGTACAATGTCTTCCTTCCGTAGGAAAATTCCTCAAAGTAGTCAAGTCATGACCTGCACATGCTCGGTGAGTACAGAGTTGTGCAATGACCTTGAGTTGTACAGGTGAACAAATCCCAGACATCCCCATCAGGCCAGCTAAACACTGCCCATCCAGGACAGATGGGACAACCCTGAAAACCTCTGTTCCCTGGTGGACTTTCTCTCTGCTTCTCTGCACTGACTTTGACCTGCTGGGGCCCAGGACAGCACATCATCTATGTGCTGATCCAGAATGGAACATCGCTTTTTATTCAACTCATTTTTAATGCTTACTATTGCCCTGATATTTTCTTTTGGAGACCAAATGATGTGCACCTTGCCCTATACACACACACACACACACACACACACACACGTCTAAACCTGTGCAATATCACCTTACACAGCAAAAAGGACTTTGTAGATGTATTTAAGTAAAGGATCTTGAGCTGGGGAGATTTTCCTGGTTATGCAGATGGGATCACTGTAATTACAAGAGTCCTTTTAAAGGGAGACAAGGTCAAGGTTAGAGAGAAGGGATATGACAACAGAAGCGGAGGTTGGAGTGAGACATTCTGAAGACGGGGGAAGGGGCCATAGGCCAAGGGATGGGGAATTTGGAAAAAGCTAGAAAATGGATTTTTCCCTTGAGCCTGCAGAAAGAGCAGAGTCCTGCTGAAGCCCCAATTTTAGCCTAGAGAAATCCATGCCACTTCTGACCTACAGCACTTTTAAGGTTAATTCTATGCTATTTAAATCTACTAAATCTGAGATTATTTGTTACAGCAACAATACCAGACTAAGTACACATACTTAGTT